AGCTGCCTTCTACCCACAGTAGCATGAGAGCTTCTTCCAAATATTATCTGGAATTAAATGTATCACAGCAGTGTGCCAGCTGTCCCATAATCTCAGAGGGAGATATTTTCTAGCATATACAGACTTCACACATATTCCTATTAATACCATGGGAATTGCAAAACTGCAGAACTCCAGTGGTGCAATTTGCTTTCCTTAAACTACCAAAAGAAAATGAAAGTGGTTTTTAAAGGGGGGGGGAGACTTCCTCTTTTTTAAAAAGCAATTCTTTCTACAGTTCAGAACACTAGCAATGAATTTCTTTTTAGGGGGAAAGACATATATCCAACTGCAAAATTCTGTTTTTATCATTGTACTGTGTGTATATGTGTATGTGTTTTGTATTCAGCATAGTCCAGAAATGTATAGGGTATTTTATAGCAACTGAATTAAAGCTGTGATTTCTCAGTTTAGGCAATATTATAAAAACAATTAATTCAAAAGAAGCATTAGAAGCTATTTTTAAAATGACTTTTAAAGAGATTACAATACATTTTGGGATTGCTGTTAATGGTGGTTTTGATCATTTATAAACATAATTACCGGTAATTTCCTATTTTTGTTGATATGTCTATATTTTATTATCACGTGCACTAACGAATTGGACAGCACTCTCTTATTTGTGCCCTTGACCTGATTTTGCATTGATGCCATTGACTTTGAAAGGCATCAATAAAATGTTTTCTAGAGCTGTAACAGTTTTTCCTCAAACTATTTATTGAATATGCAGCCTTGATCTTTCTTTGACTGCCAAAATTCACTTGGGAAGAAAAGTTGCTCAGGAAGTGGATATTCTTTTCCGCTGACATTTTCTTCTCTCTCGTTTGACACAAAACACACTACAGTTGTGGGAGACTTCCGGTAAATGCCATATGCTAAAGCCGGCCATGTGATACTCTAACTCATGGGTAGGCAAACTAAGCCCAGGGGCCAGATCCAGCCCAATCGCCTTCTAAATCTGCCCTGTGGACGGTCCAGGAATCAGTGTGTTTTTACACGTGTAGAATGTGTGCTTTTATTTAAAATGCATCTCTGGGTTATTTGTGAGGCACAGGAATTCGTCCCCCCCCCACAAAAAAAATATAGTCCAGCCCCCCACAAGGTCTGAGGGATAGTGGACCAGCCCCCTGCTGAAAAAGTTTGCTGACCCCTGCTCTAACTCATTTTGCCACAGAAACAAAAGTTGCTACAAGTTGGTGGTGGTGGTGATAATTAGTAGAAGGAATATTCCAAACTTGGGTGCTGCCACAGAAATGTCTCTCTCCCCATGCAGAAATGAAACGAACCTCTACTAAAGAGGGTATTTGGAGCAACACCTATGCAGAAGACCATAAGACATGGGCAAGCCAATATCAGCTTCAGATGTTTCATTAAATGCATTTTATGCAGAGGGCTAGCTGAAGTTTTAATTATTTTAATTGCTGCTTTCCATGCTGCTGTTTTAAATTCTGTGGTTTTTAATATTGTGTGTTTATCCTCTAACTTATTATCATTTTTTATAAGCCTCTCTGGGTACCCCAGCAAAAAAAAAATGAGATTATAATTATAATTATTATAGCAAAAATATTATTATTAGCACCAGCACCATCAATGGCTTGGAACTTACCTTTTCACTCCAAGAATAAAAGGACTTTTATGCTATGGATGTTGCAGCAATACATTTGTACAACATCCCTAGTATAAAAAAAACTTTCAGTGGAAGCCATTGCTGCTGCTGTTGCTAATAAAAAGATAATTATAGCAATAATTATAATTATATCACCACCACATTATTTTATCAGGGTGAAAGAAACTCAAACAGGGATGCTATTCCACAAAAGAAGTGTAGTGTTGTGCTGAGTTTCAGACTAGGACGTAGGAGACCAGGGTTCAAATCCCCACTTGGCCATGAAGCTCACTGGGTGACCTTGGACAAGTCACTTCGGCACAGCACACAGCGCTGTTGTGGGGATGAAATACGACACAGGAAAACCATGAATGCCAACTTCAGCTCCTTGGAGGAAAAGGTGGCATATAAATGGAGCAAACAAATAAGCTTTTCACAACATCCACCCAACACCTGAATGAAAATTACAGCCCACGCTTTCTTTTTTGTTTAATCTGGGTCTCCTTTTACCACAGAAAAGCCAATAAATAAAAAATTGCCTAAGCAAAGCCCTGGGGGGTCCAAGTAAAATCTGTGAATGGCCCACTTAAAAAAAAACCACCAAGGTTTTTTTGGTGTAGTTAATCTGAGCACACCACCATGTGATTTGTTCTCAAGGCTGCTGGCATATTTAAACAAATAAACAAAGAGAATCCCCTTTTTATATTCATAAAAGAATAGAAGTACAGACATTATAGCCATTTTGGTTTTACCAAAAATGACAACCTATTTAGCAAGTTCATATCAGAGCACATCTGTCCAGCTGCCCTGAGGTAAAAGTGCTCTTCTATCTGAAGTTGGGGTTCCCCACCACCACTGTGGACTTAGGCAAGTATTTGTCCTAGCTCCCACCTCTTTTCATTTATCCCTGGCCGATCTTCCCATAAATTTGGGCTCAATATCTTCTCATCCTCCTAAACTAAACACCATTCAGATTTAATATATGCACATTGTGCCGTCTTAATCTTGTAAACATTTGGGATTTAGACAACTGTTCACAGGATTTGCAGATGACTGTAGGAAATCATTTTGAACTATCAAGTCAAAAGTTATGGCATTTTCAAAAAGGAAGGCCAAGCATTCTCAGAACATAGACTTGAATGAGTTTGTTCCTACAAGTGTAGCAGGTACACCCAAATGGGTTGCTAACACAGCCCTTAATTCTGATTTAGCTCATTAAGTAGCATGGCACGGCTATATTCTGTTTATTCTTGTCTTCAAATATGCTCTATCTATCCAGTGTCTCTGGTATATCAGATGTTGCCTGACTCTGTCTATATGGAAAAGAGGGATAATGGGAAACATTGATGATGGTGGTTATGAGGGTGGTGGTGGTGATTAATACCCTGCACATCTGGCTGGGTTTCCTCAGCCACTCTGGGCGACTTACAGCATATATAAAAATATAGCCAAACATCAAACATTAAAAGCTTCCCGATACAGGGCTGCCTTCAGATGCCTTCTAAAAGTTGTGTAGTTCTTTATCTCCTTGACATCTGAAAGAGGGACATTCCAAAGGGAGGATGTCACTACCGAGAAGGCCCTCACTTCACTTCTCGCAGAGAAGGCCTTCAGTTTCTGGGCTGAATGATGGGCGTGAAAATGCTCCTTCAGGTTGTTGTTGCTGGTTTGTCTCCTTATCTCAACATCAGATCTAATTGAAGCCAAATCTATGGTGAAACAGAGAATAAAAAAGATGTGCATGTGTTGTGTGGATCAGCGAATGGGCCACATATACCACAGTTTATGGACAGACCTGGCCAGTGCTCTTTTTCTACAGAAAGAGGTGCCGGCACTCACTATGAAGTTGTTACAGTAAGTGCCACACTTTTTAACAACAACAACAAAAGAGGTGCCAGTACTGCGTACCCTTGAGTACTGGACCTGACTTTGCCTCCTCTAACAAATGAATGCCACATCTAGATTTTCTTATACCTAAGCGTAGAAGAGCAAGGTTCTTTGTCCTGTTTTAATGTTTTACCTTCGTAAGATCCTAGATGGCATCTTTGTGAAAATAGCCTTCAAGGATAGGCATTGTAACCATTCAGAGACGGAAACGGTCTCTCATGTGTTTTTCTTCAGTATATTTTATTAAGGGGTCAGGGAACGCATAATCTATCTTCTTATGAGGAGATTTCCTGGTCAATCCTTAGAGACCCTTTTGAACATCTTCCTCAAGGGGACTAATAAATCTATTACCAAACACAAGGCAAAATATTGAAGTGTGCCATATCTCTTAGACATGCTCTGATTTTTAGTTCTTGGACTGTGTCATCCTTAATAATTGGATCGGCTGAAGCTGCGATTTTTGTATTTTATGTTTTGTGCTTTGTTTATTCATCAGTCAACCATAATAAACATTTGATCACAAGAAAAAAACCTGGGCACACGGCTCAGAGCACATGGCGATTAGGCCCAGCGCATCTGTGCTACAAGAAGTGGCGCAGCCCACCGTGTGTCCAGATGGTTGTAATAATAGACCCTAAGAGCTGGTTCACATTTTTATGTCAACCATGATGAAATCCAACACGAATTGATTTGGTGATATGACATTAAATAACTGGTCTGGTAAACATCTCGCAAGAACTGAAACTGTGGGATTGTGATAGGAAAGTCCCTAATATTTAGAAAATATGGACATTTCTTCATCTCTGGAAAGAAGAGGGTGAACCCACTGCAAGCCCAGTGGATTTAAGGACCAGAGAAAAGGAGAGGACATAGATGTATTCCTTGTTTTTAAGGTGCAGTGTCTAGGATTTCAGGTGGGTGTGCTTATTTGCTCTTACTAGATCATACATATTGAAGAAAAGTGATGAACGTTATTTATTCCTAGAATGAGGTGGTGAACCTATTTATCTATGCGTTACACTATGTTACTTGGTGACCTACCGTGGGCTCTTAGGTCAGTATGTTCAAGATTAATGAGCCATTGGTTCTCCATTAAAGATATATTTAAGAATGTGCATTTAATTAACATGAGTTATTGTACATGAATTAATGCCATTTTCAACTTATTTAATTTAAAGGAGATAAATTTTTCATTTTCATTCCTAGGAATGGCCTCAGCATTAGTAATCCTAGCATGGCTGTGCTCAGATATATGAAGATGTCTGTATCTTCTGAATTTTGTTCTTCTACCGAACGCAAGTTACGAATACATGATAATGGTGATAAGTTGGATTAACATTTGCACCAGATCTCTACATCTGTACTGTGCCTAGATCAGGGGCAGGCAGAAAGTAGATTTACTGATAGATTTTTTAAAAAACATATTTATATATATATATATATATTGTCTAGTGTCACCTTAGAGACCAACTAAGTTTGTTCTTGGTGTAAGCTTTCATGTGCATGCACACTTCTTCAGATAAACTGAAACAGAAGTCACCAAACCCTTATTTCAGTGTATCTGAAGAAGTATTTATGCACATGAAAGCTTATACCAAGAACAAACTTTGTTGGTCTCTAAGGTGCCACTGGACATTTTTAATATTTTTTTATATATTTCGACTGCGTCAGACCAACACGGCTACCTACCCGAATATTTTCATTAAAGATTTCTTGGTTTACAAAAGTATGTGCAATGTTTCTTTCTTCAAGTAACATTTTCTATAGATTTCTGAATTATTGGAAGGATTTCTGGCTCCCAACTGTTTAACCATAGGAGCAACCTTCCCCCTACCTCCTCCAAATTAGGCTGCTGAGATGAAAAATGCTTGGAGGGAAAATGAAGCATGGATTTTTCTGTGAAGGGATTGCGAGTTGAGATTTGATACTTTAAACAAATTCCTGAGCTGAAGTGCATCCAGAGTATATCTGCCCTTCTAAGTCACTATTTATTTTGCACTTGTCCATTGATAGCCAGCATCAGGGTTCAGGGTCATGTACATTGGAACAAAGTTAGTCAAGGCCCTACAGACATCCCAGTCTAAGTCTGCATGCTTTTGCTTTGCCTCTTCTGTTTCCTAAAAACTCTGCTCTGCAGTATATTACCACTTCTCAACTGCACTTGGAGCATAGACTAAAGGGTTGCTCAGATTAATTGCATACCATATAGCCAACCAGCATGCTAAGAAACTACAGATCTAAAAAACTCTGACCTTGCCCCCCCCTTCTTGAAAATCCATCCCTCCAGCTTTAGCATTCTTCCAGCTGTTTTGATTTAAAAAACATATTTTTTTATTAAAGATTTCTTGGTTTACAAAAGTATGTTCAATTTCTTTTTTTTCAAGTTACATTTTCTACAGATCAGTTTCTTTTGCTGATACATTTGTGTTATATTAGGAAGAAAAGGGGGAAAGAGGTCGAGGGGGGTATGGTGAGTGGGGGTGGGGGCAGGTGGCAATGTTTCTATTCTATTTAATGTACGTGTGGGGTTTTGTGTCAGCATCGCTTGTGCGGGTTCTCTTTGCTATTCGCTTGTGTTCCTTTGGTGGTGAGAGAGGTTGCGGTTGGCCTAGGGTGTGGTTGTTTGTGATTGGCTGTGGTAAACTTTGTTTTCATGTGTGAGTGGGGTGTGTGTGTGTGCTTGAATCAGGTTAGCCATACTGTTGGTGGATTCTTGTCGTTGTCTTGTTGGGCTGTGTATGTGATAAAGGGGAGTCATACCGGGGTGAAGGCATCTTCTTCTATTTATCCCCGTGTCAGTTTCAGTTTGTTGGTTAGTTTTTCTAATAAGACTGTTTTCCTATACTATTTGGTACCATTGGTCCATGCTTACTCCTGACAGGTCTCTTCAGTCTCTGGCTATGATGTTTCTGGCTGCTGAGAGTAGGTGGAGCTGCTGCAGCTAAAGTGCAGGGCCAGCAGAAAGCATTAGCAACGAGCACACAGCTGCTTATGGGTGTGGAGTCAAAAGACACCACTTGTTTTAGTGTCTGAGGTTCTCCCATAAAAAGACACTAAGAAGAAAGGGGAGGACACCTTAGACTGCTCCGTCTCCTTAGTGCTCTTTGCATTGCTCTTTCTCATTCCTGGAACCTTTTTTTTTTTTTTTTTTGCTTTTATTCTATCCATCCCCTGCATTATGCTCAGATTCGTGGTGGTGGCACATTTCCACCAGTTTTGTTGTATCTCCAGGCTCCTCTTGCAAACCCTTTTAGCTACCTGCTACATTGCACTGCACCTCTTTTGTGGATGTATTTACCAGCCTAACGTAAGCATAATAGAACAGTCATAATATCCAGATTCCCATTTTCTTTTAATAAAAATGAAGAAGTGTCTAGTATATGTAGCTATGAGGCAAGCAGTACAGGAAACAGTCTCATTTGTTTTGTGAGAAGCTGCTCTGCTCCCACCTGTGTGTTTAGCCAATGACTGACATTTAGGAAAGCAGACCTAGCCAATTAGACAATGGGAAAGCAGGAATGAAAACCCCATTGTCTCTAGAGAAGAAGTTTCTTGGTTTGTTTTTAAGCCTTCCCTTTCTCTGTTGATCCCGTGGAGGAGTAATTGTTGTTCATAGAAAGCAATTCGGGTTTCCAGGATTTTAGTACAGGTGCCTAAAAACAAAAGATAGCAGCAGAGACAGGAATTTGGGAGCTTCTGAAAGCGTATTTTGCTAGAAAACAAAGTGCTTTTGTTTCTGCATTTGTAAACATTTTAAAAATTACTCTGCCGTGCATGCATGCATACTGTTATGAGTTGGGGGGGGACGAGGAAGTAGGCTGCATGGGAGATCCTTTTAATACCTTCTGACCTTTCTAACACTGAAGTCTGGAGGAGGTGCTAGAAAAAGAAATGGAAGTTTCAGCAGTGATTAAGGACATCTGGGTGCCAGGTCTACCCATAGGTTGACAGCAAGTTTATCCTTTGAAAAACAATGGATTGATAGTCCTGGAATTCAAGGTTCTCAGAGACAAAGTCTACCCAGGTATTGCCGCTGCTCAGTTACTCGATTGACCGACAATGGTGGACCTGTTCTCTGAGAACCTTGCATTCCAGGACTATCAATCCATTTTATTTCAATGGGTAGACTTGCTCCCAACCTATGGGTAGACCTGGCATAGATATGCATATTTATTTATTATGAGTATGTACTGTGGGCTTCCTGTGGACAACCGTACTCCCTACCTCTATTTCTCAGAAAGTTCAAGGTACACATCCATTGGGATGAGCATGAACAGGAAAATCTAAGCAACTTGATGATCTAGATATAGTAGGGTATAGTATATCCACCATATAATAGGAAGGAAATGGGATATATTATTTGCTTCGAAACCAGTTCTGTTATTGCTCCCTTGTACAGCTAACTGCAGACTATGCAATGCCCTGCCAGCCAGCTCGCCTGCCAGCCAAGAATTACAATAATCCAATATGAGGAGGTCATGAGAACATGAATCTAATGAATCTAGACTAATAATTACAGCTCATTTAATTACCTCTGAGATAATAGCAGGAGTTGTAATTTTTTTGTAATTGATGTTGCTGACATCCTTGCACCTTTTAAGTTGCATTAGTTATAAAATCTGCCATGTTAATGTTTAAGTTGATAAAAATGTCACAAATTAATGGAACAGAAGAGTCTCTAAATGTCAAGGAGGTCTTTGAGGAATTGATAGGTGGATATTTTAAAACATTTGTACTGCTCAAATTGACGCGCCGTTTGATGGATGAAGCAAATCAAGATGCTGCTCCTCCAAGGTGTTTATTATGAGAATACTTGCTATAACTTTCCATTAAGTTTCTTAACAGAAATTATACTTTTTTATTTTTATAGCATTGATAGTTAATGAAAATGGATGCATTAGGCTCAGCCACAGACATTCACTCCTCTGAGAAACACGGCTGCAATAGGACCTTGAACTGATTGAAAACCTGCTCTCCTCACTTCATGTACAGCTGTACAGCCCATTAAGTTTCTGAATCACTCGGAATGTTACATGTTTGCATGTAGGAGTTGGCATATTTATATGCTTAAACACTTTTGTGTGAGCAGAGCTGTATCAATAGGTTGATTTCAATAGGTCTACTCTCAGTATAACAGAAGCTGAATCCAGTCCTCTTTTTGCTGCAGTGCTGAACATATGTGCTGCCCAGATGTTCATTTAAAAGTAAAAAGGGGGCTGTATTAAATTCTTTCACACATTCTAATTAAGTGTACAAAGGGGAAAAACTGCAACAAAATGTTACAGCATAGAGCATTTATTTCACAGTGCCTGCCAGCCACACTCTCTTCTGCAATACTCCATTCCTCCCCCCACAGCAACAGACACTCATTGTTCTGTGGTCACTGAACAGGGTCACTGGACTGTTTTGAATCCCTTAGCCGGGTGCTTGCCTGGGGCTCAAAATGACATGGTCATCATGGCTTCACCCTCAAGACATTGAAGCAATAATTGTATTTTGGTGTTTCATACTTATAGAATGCTTTCATTTTTAGAGCAATTACAGACCATGGCCATCTACCTCCCATTTTCTCCTCTTCCTTTTTTGAAGACTAAAAATGCTCAAGTGATTTTACTAACACCAGCTGTTCCATGGCAGGTCTTTCCCTGGTGACCCTTCACTCCACCCTGCATTCCATGACAGGATAACCACCTTTTCTGTGGCCAGAGAAAGGAAGAGCTGAAGGAAATGAAGGAGGTCAGGAGACCTGTGCAATAAGAAATGTCCTGTGAAGCTTGGGAAAGTTTGCCAGCAGGTTCTCTGAGCATGCAGAAGGGATTTAGTGGGTGTGGAACTCTGTGCTCAGATTCCCCTTCCATTTCAGCAGCCTATTCAGGATGCAGAATTATCTGAGTATGTCAGTCTCGGGATTTTGCAAAATCTCATTGAAACAAGATAGAGGGGATGAGGATGAAGGAGAATCCTGATATTGTAACAATGGTCTTTAACCTTTAAATCTAGGCTCTTTCTCAAGGGGGGGGGGGAGCTCTTGATTGTTTCCTTTGGGATCAATCCTGCCTCAGTGCTCAAAAGACCTTTTTTTATTATTCAGTGGGAACATGATAAGGCTCTATGTTTCTAATGGAGCTTGAAATTAACCCAACTTTATATTCTTGCTTTTTGCACTAGTATTATCAGCATCATCACAAATTTAGGAGTACGGTTTTGCTAGCTAGCTCATTTTCTATCTGCTGACTTCATAACAACAAAAGCAAGTATTGCAGTTTAAGGTAGTGGTGGGTGGGCGAGAGCCTCCTGATTTGCCTTACAATTAGCTTGCTCTTTGTGAGCTTCTGCAGAGTCTTCCCAAGAGTCCTCTGAGGAAGCTTGGGAAGACTTCATTAAGCCTGTGAAAGTCCCCAAGTCCCTACTTATCAGGCCCCAGCCAATTACTGATGGAAGGCAAGATGCAGTGGATGCAGAGAGCTGCGTGGTTACAGCAGAGGCCTTATAGCAGAGTGGGAAACCTACAGCCCTCTAGCTGTTGCTGAATTAAAGCTTCCATCAAGCCCCACCAGGATAGCCAATAGTCAGGGATAATGGGAGTTGGAGTCCAGCAATATCTGAAAGATCAC